ATTCCCCACACTTTCAGGGTTCCTGTCTTCCCCCCACTGCCCATATTTTCCCATATTCTCTGGGGAATCGACGATTACTTGTGTCTGTGTGCTTTGTCCCCTCCTGACCTATGCCCCGCAGGCCGGGGGCCGGGGCGCCGTCGTCGTGGCCGCGCCCGGCTCGGGGAAGTGCCCGACGGAGATGCTGATGCGGCCGGCGGGCGGCTGCCAGAGCTTTTGCTCTGCGGCCGCGGCTGCAGGGGCAGGTTCGGCGGCGAGCCCCGGGGGGGAAGTGAGAAGGAGCAGGCCTTCACGGTTGGCGGGGGGGGGGGGGCTTCTCAGGGGCCCTCGCGCCTACCGAGGGACTGTCTGAGCCTTCTCCGAAGACAGAGACGGCTTCTCAAGAAAGCTGGAGGGCTTCTGCGAAGCCCCGCCGCCTTCTGAGAAAACCCGCCCCCTCTCACTTCCCCCCGGGCTCGCCGCCAGCAGGTGGGGAAAAGGATAGACGTGAGGAGGCATCTCCTGGGATGTCTTAGCCAGAACAATCTAAGGGCTATTAAGCCCGATAAAGAAGCCTTTGAGCCGATTCCCCTTCCTCCTCCCTCCCTCCTCCTCGATTCCCTCTTCCTCGATTCCTCGATTTCTCGATTCCTCCTCCTCCTCCCTCCCTCTTCTTCCTCCTCGATTTCTTTTCCTTATAAATGATTGCTCCCTGTCGCGCCCAGAGGTCGGTCGAAAGGGTGGGCAGGGCGTTTCGCTTGAGACTTCCTCACCGCTTATGACCCTGAAGCTGAAAAACTGGCCACAGCTTTACAGATGGAGGTCGGATGGTTTTTAAAATGTGGCTCTCGTCTTAGCGCTGCGCGCACTCGTTGTAAACATCTGCAACACTTTAACGGATCGAGGACAGGACGTTTTCAACATGTGTCTCTCGCCTCAGCGCCGTGCTCATTCGTTTTCGTTTCACGGGTTGAAGGCGGATGGTTGTCAAAATGTGTCTCCGACCTTAGCGCCGCGCTCGTTCATGTAAACAAGCTGCACGAGTTTAGCAGATTTAGGGCGGCTCCTTTTCAACATGTGGCTCTCGGCTTCGCGCCGCGCACATTCGTTTTGAACACATTTCAAGAGTTTAACGGGCTCTCAAGGTTAACACTCCAAACATAATGTTTTGGAGCCGTTCAGGAGTGTCAGGGCGCAACAGTGACGTTGATTCGCGGTGCTCCCAGGAGCAGTGTTCTGGCACGATTCAGGATCGCCAAGACGCAACAGTCTGGTTTACTCGTGGTGTAGAATTCCTGAGAATGGTGTTTTGGCACGCGTCATGATTTTCACGAGGTTGTCCCACGACGGCGCACTTCCCTCAGTAGATATGAACTCTTGCAGGGGCCTATGAAGAGGGAGCTTGGAGGGAGGGTGTACTCCAACATCATTGATGAGTCTTGAGTTTACACTGGTCCTCCTCCTCCTCCTCCTCCTCCTCCTCCTCCTACTCCCCCTCCTCCTCCTCCTCCTCCTCCTCCACCTCCACCTCCTCCTCCTCATCCTCCTCCACCTCCTCCTCTTCCACCCTCTCCGACAAAGAACACGCTCAAAACTGCTCCCTGGACCTATAACTATGGGGACCATCCTGGCAGCCTTCCCACTCTGGATCGGCAACTGACTGCAGGCGCGATGCTTCGAGGCCGATTTTCTTTACACCCCGGCAGGTTTGCTTGCATGGAGGCGGGAGGGAGAGGGGCGTGGCGAAGCACGACAAGAACTTTGGACTCCATGCACATCGGACACACTTGCACGCCGTCTCGGCCTACCGTCGGGGCGTTGACCTAAGGAACCCTAGATAAGGAACAAGGCCCCTTTTTTCCACAAGTTAAACCTATATTCCCCCACGGAGCCCCTCCCCAACGAAAAGGGTTCCTTGTTTAGCGCCCCGACTGTAGCGCTGTTTGGACAGACGGCGGAGGAAGGTAGGGAGGGGTGGCGGGGGACAACCGCCATGCAAGTAAACCTGCCAGAGCCCCTCTTTCCAGTCTCGGGCTCTTCAAACTCTTCCTTCCTGTGTGACCCAGCGCCTCGCAGAGAGGGGGGGGGGCACTTGCGGCAGCGAGCAGCAGCAGCAGCAGCAACAACAAAAACGCGCTCCTGTGCCGCGGCTCCTGGCTCCGCGGCAGGGGGGAACATCGGGACTGGGAACGGCGGCAGCGCCATGGGGGCCGTCATGGCCTGGCCCCGCTGAGATCGGCGGCGCGCCCGGGGGGAGAAGGCAACACGAGCACGGGCCGCTCGGAAGCGGCGAGCGCACCACGACTCGAAGGCACCGCAGCTCACTGCGGCGCGGCCGTGCGCTCCAGAATGGCGGCGGCTCGACGTCCGCCGCCCGCCCTGCCTGAGGGGCGGGCCTTCTCGGAGGGCTCAGGCGGCCGCCGGCCTTCGGAGACGCGTGCTGAGCCTTCTCCGGAGCCCGGCCGCCTTCTGAGAAGGCCTGCCCTCTCCCGCTTCCCCCTTTGGAGCGCCGCCGATATACGAATGTATGTACATATGTATAACGCAATAATATGTATGTATGTGTAGTGTATCTGTATATATATATATATATAACACAGGAAAAGAAATCAACAACGAGAGAGAGAGAGAGATAGAGAGAGATAGAGATAAAGAGAAAGACACAGAGGGAGAGACAGAGAGAGAGAGAGAGGCGAGGAAGCGACATTGACCCACAAGGGAAGGGTGGACAAGGGAAGGACACAACGATCCGAGAAGCGACGCGATAGAGGAGCACGGTAACACAGAAGAGGGACGCACCGCTACCCTCCACAAGAGACGTCTCCTCAAGGATCGGCGAAGAAGGATTCCCCTCCTCCTCCTCCTCCTCCTCCTCATCCTCCTCCTCCCACTCCTCCTCCTCCTCCTCTCCTCCTCCTCCTCCTCCTCCTCCCCTCCTCCTCCTCCTCCCCCCACTCCTCCTCCTCCTCCTCCTCCTCCCTCCTCCCTCCTCCCTCCTCCTCTCCTCCTCCCTCTTCCCTCCTCCCTCCTCCCCTCCCTCCCTCCTCCCTCCTCCCTCCTCCCTCCCCCTCCTTTCCTCTCTCCCTCCTCCCTCCCTCCTCCCCTCCTCCCTCCTCCCCCTCCCTCCTCTCCTCCTCCTCCCTCCCTCCTCCCTCCTCCGTCCTCGTCCTCCGTCTCCGTCCTCGTCCTCCGTTCCTTCCTCCCTGTCCTCCTCCTCCCTCCTCCTCCTCCTCCTCCTCCCCTCCCTCTCCCTCCTCCCTCCTCTCCCTCCTCTCTCCTCCTTCTCCTCCTCTCCTCCTTCCTCTTCTCCTCTTGCTCCTCCTCTCTTCTTCTCCTCCTCATCCTCCTTACTCACTCCTCCTCCTCCTCCTCCTCCTCCTCCTCCTCCTCCTCAATTCTCCTTCTCCTCCCTCCCTTTCTCAGCTTCTCCTCCTCATCATCCTCGGACCCGCCAGGAGGATTGACGAACAACTGTCAACAAGGAGGAAACCCATGTCACCCAGCCTCACGGATCGCGCTCCGCGATGCGTGGCGCGCGGTCATCTTCGCGCTCCAGCGCCACCTGCCCTCGAGAAGGCCCAGGCCGCGGCGCGAACCGTGAGTATCCTCGCGCCTCTGGGGGTGTCCTGGGGAAGACAGAAACCGAACACCTGCGCACTGCCACTGAAGGAGGCCGGGACGTGTGCCCGTCAACGTCCTGCAAAACACGACGCGCAATGATGGACATATAGTCAGATAAGTATATAGGAAATGCTATATATACACATATATATTTATATATCAGACTGAGGGGGCTGAACCGAACGGTCATTCACTGTCCATGGGTGCGTGGCAGAAGTGGAATTCCGCGATGCGGATTCTTCTTGTTGTTGTTGCTGCTGCTGCTGTTGTTGTTATTGTTGTTGTTGTTGTTGTTGTTATTGTTGTTGTTGTTGTTGCTGTTGTTGTTGGTGTTGCTGTTGTTGTTGTTGTTGCTGCTGTTGTTGTTGCTGTTGCGGTTACTGTTGCTGTTGCTGCTGTTGTTGTTGTGGTGGTGGTGGTCGTTGTTGTTGTTGTTGTTGCTGCTGCTGCTGCTGTTGTTGTTGTTGTTGTTGTTGTTGCTGCTGTTGCTGTTATTGTTGAACATTATTAATTCTAAAGAATAATTATTGTTGGGGCCCCTGGTGCACGGCCCCCCCGCCGCGCCTAGGCCGCAGCTACATTTTCATCATTTTTTCGCGAAAGCTTCAGAAAAGTGGATGGGGTCCAGATCCGGTTGTTTTGTTGTAATCCGTTTTCCCTTGCAAAAAACACTATAAAATGACATTTCTTGTTCTAATATAATCAAATTTCAAGAATCCCTTGCAAAAAATAAGGTAAAGTGGACATTCGCGCGCGCAAGACGAAATCCTTCCAAAAGCTTAGTGTTCGGAGCGATTTTAACATAAAAACATCAAAAAACCAATGGTTTTTCAACAAAAAATGTCAAAATCTCATCCCGCGCGCTCTTGCGGATTCGTAGGAAAACCAACACTTTTTAAACATTTCTGTCAAACGGGCTTTTGCGAGCAACTTTTTCGAACTTCTGCGACAACGGTTGCGCACCTGCCAGGGCCATCATCCCTGTCAAATAATACCATGCGGGACACATTCGTTTTTTCTTCGCGCGCGCACGCCGAAATCTCCAAAAACCATTGGGTTCTTAAGAATTTTAGCACCGCGCATCATAAAATCACACGAATCGCACCGTAGGTCCTCGAAAAACACCTGCACGACTTTTCAAAATTTCCACCCGCGCGCGCTGTCCGAATCCTAAAAAAAACAATGGTTTTCCAACATTTATGTTACATGAGCTCGCGATCGGGACAACCACAACCATCAGGACAACCATCGGGACAACCATCGAGACAACCATCGGGACAACCATATCCTCTCTCTCTTGTGTATTCCCACATCCCTCAGGAATTTGCCCTAAAGATGTGATCAACTATCTTGTGAGTACGTATCATGTGTATCATGTGTATCATGTACCATATGCATCATATGCAACAGATGTTCTGTGGAAGGCTTAACAACTTCTGTGGGTTAACAAGGCTTAACAACTTCTGTGGGTGTACGAACGTAGGCTTAACAACTTCTGTGGGTGTGTACTCCACGCCAGTGTAGTAGCCACGGTCGTCCGCAGGCCACGAAGTGAAGTGTCCGAACGTCATAGGGCGGGAAGCTGGGTGTGGGTGGTGGCGAAGAGTCGTGTGGATATTTGGTAGAGCTTGCACTGCCCCCCCACAAAGTGGGGGTATTGGCTGGCGTCGCATGAAAACCCTGGCACTGGTGAGAACACTGAGCGTTCGGGTAAAGTGATTGTTGTTGTTGTTGTTGTTAGTTGTTGCGTATTGCTTGTTGTTTGTTGTTTGTTGCTTGTCGTTTTGGTGTTTGCTGTTTGCTGTTTGCTGTTTGCTGCTTGCTGCTTGTTGTTTGTTGTTTATTGTCTGTTGTTGTCGTCGTCCCACCCGCGACCTGCCAAGACCCCTCCCCCGCGACCCACCCCGCGACCCACCCCGCGACCCACCCGCGACCCACCCCGCGACCCACCCGCGACCCACCCCGCGACCCACCCGCGACCCACCCGCGACCCACCCCGCGACCCATCCCGCGACCCACCCGCGACCCACCCGGCGACCCACCCGGCGACCCACCCGCGACCCCTCCCCCGCGACCCACCCCGCGACCCACCCGCGACCCACCCACGACCCACCGCGACCCACCCGCGACCCACCCCGCGACCCACCCGCGACCCACCCAAAATTTTCGGCGCATGCGGCGGGTTTCTTTTGCATTCGTTCCAGGTGGAGAACCTGCGACCCACCCGCGACCCAAACCGCGTTCAGTGTACAAGCCAAAATTTTCGGCGCCTGCGGCGGGCTGTGTTTGAATTCCTTCCACGTGGAAATGGACAGCCCGCGACCCACCCGCGAACCAACTACACTCAGTGAGCAAGTCAAAACTTCGGCGCTTGCGGCGGGTTTCTTTTACATCGGCGACCCACTCGCGACCCACCGGCGACCCATCCGCGACCCACCCGCGACCCACCCCGCGAGCCACCCGCGACCCACCCGCGACCCACCCGCGACCCACCCGCGACCCACCGCGACCCACCCGCAACCCACCCGCCACCCACTCGAGACCCACCCAAAATTTTCGGCGCCTACGGCAGGCTTCTTTTGTATTCGTTCCAGGTGGAGAACCTGCGATCCACTCGCGACCCAAACCGTGTTCAGTATACAAATCAAAATTTTCGGCGCCTGCGGCGGGCTGTGTTTGAATTCCTTCCAGGTGGTCGTGCGGCGGGTTTCTTTTGCAGTCGTCCCGGGTGGAAAACATGCCGTCGTTGTCGTCGTCGTCGTCGTCGCCGTCGCCGCCGCCGCCGCCGCCGCGGCCGCCGACGTCGCCGTCGCCGCCGCCGCCGTCGCCGTCGCCGTCGCCGTCGCCGTCGCCATCGCCGCCCCGCCCCCCTGGCGCGCCCGCGCTCCGCGGAAGAGGGGGGAGGAGCAGGGCGAGGAGCAGGAGGAGGAAGACGACGACGACGACGACGACGACGAGTACGAGGACGAAGAAGAGGCCGACGACGAGGGCGAGAGGGAAAAGAAAGAGGGACGGACGAGGAGGAAGAGGAGGAGGAGGAGGAGGACGAGGAGGAGGACGAGGAGGAAAACGAGGAAGAGGAGGAGGAGGAGGAGAAGGAGGTGGAGGAGGAGGAAGCGGACGACGACGACGACGACGATGAGGACGAGGACGCGCACAGGAAGATGAGGAGCAGGAGGAGGAGGAGCAGGAGGAGGAGGAGGAGGAGGAGGAGGAGGGCGCCATCGACAGGGAGGGTGAAGGCCACAAGGTCCGCCGGCTCGACGCCCGCGACGCCTGCGCCCGCCCCCTCACTCTTACCTGCAGTTGCGGGGTGCTGCGATCTGTAATTTGTTGTTATCCTCTTCTCTTCCCTCTCTCTCTCTCTTCCTCTCTCCCTTCTCTCCTTCTCCTCCTCCTTCTCCTCCTCCCTCTCTCCTACTCCCCCTGCTCCTCCTCATCTTCCTCGTCTCGCCTCCTCTGAATTATGTTCCTAGCGTTCCTCCTCCCACTCCTCCTCCTCCTCCTCCTCCTCCTCCTCCTCCTCCTCCTCCTCCTCCCCCCTGGGAGGCTGATGTTGTTCTCGCACTTTGTCTAATGCAAGGCCAATGATTTTTCCAACAAGAGATGACCACTGACCATTTGCAAAGTAGGTGCGGTCACGGCGCTGTGTAGGTATCCCTGTGGCCTGGTCAGCCCATGCATTCTGATTGTTAATTTTTGTTCCTGTTCATCTGCCCTTTCGTCCCGCGGCGCCCGCCCGCCGCCCCAGGGCGAAACCGCGGGAACCCATGGAACAACAAAACATAAGGAAACGCCTGGCCTGCACTGGAACGATTTTTTTGTAAGAAAAAATATAGCCGGAGTCCAATATCCCCAAACAGGGTCTTTAAACCCACTGCGGTTTCCAAGGTCCGATCGAGTGCCCGTCCAGTGCGGGCTGGCATGGCATTAGAACATGATAGCATGATGTTTGCACACAAGATGTTTACACGAAAACTGATGTGACGCATGCCTATCAGGAAGCTCACGCTAGAGGGTGCCGTACACTCTCGCACCTGGTCGACGAGTAAACTGTCGGGTCGGCACTGTGAGAAGTTCCACCGCCATGCTGTGAACTCGGAAGCAACTGTAAGAGGAAACGGGCGAGGGCGCGGAAGCAGGGGGGCATGTCGTGATGGTTCCCCCGGGGATGATATCGAGAGGTACGCGGCGCACGTCTCAAAAGACAGATCGTGACGTCGGATGTCTGGGGAGGGCGGAAGGCAGGGCGCGCATGACGGATAGGCTGAGGCGGCAGACACGACGACGGCGGAGACGGGGAGGTGGAGGCAGAGGCGTAGCAGCGGGAGGCGGGAGGCGGGAGGAGGGAAGAGGAGCCAGGCGGGAAGCGGGAAGAGGGAGGCGGGAGAAGGAATGAGAGAGGTTGTGATTGGAACCCCTGTGCTACGAAACGTCTCAAGCAGAACGGGCCAGACCATCTCGCGCGCAGCATCTCCGAACTTCGCATTGTGAGGATGGCTCAAGCGAAACGAGCCGGACCACCTCGGGAGCGACATCTTGGAGCTCAATATTGGAAGGATGTCTCAAACGAAACGGGCTGGACAACCTCTCGCACACGTTCTGACAAATCCACGTCGCACTCGCTTCCCGTTAGGTCCTCTCCTGCAACTTCCTTCCTTCTCCCTCCTCCTCCTCCTCCTCCCCCTCCTCCTGCCTGCTCCCTCATCCACATCCTCCTCCTCCTCCTTCTCCCTTCCATCTCCTTCTCCTTGTCCTTCTCTTTCTCCTCCTCATCCTGAACGGCATCTCGGAGCCCAGAGTTGCGAGGATGTCTCCAACGTAACGGGCTGGACCACCTCGCGCGCGGCATCTCGGACCCCAAAGTTGCGACGACGTCTCGGGCGAAACGTGCTGCGAGGAAGTCTCAAGCGAAATGGGCCAGACCACCTCGAGCGCGGCGTCTCAGAGCTCCGAGTTGCGGGGGCCTCCTGGGGCCTCCTGGGGCTTCCTCCTGGGCCTCCTGTGGCCTCCTGGACTACACCTGGGGCTTTCTGAAGCCTCTTGGGGCTCCCAGGGGGGGATATCTAACATGTGGCCGTTTGGGCCCCTCAAAATGGGAGGGGGGGGGGGGCACAAGAGCAGGAAAAATCAACAAATCGACACCGGATGTGTATTAACTTGACACGCTCTGATACGGGGGCTTCCTGGGGCCTCTTGGGAGCCTCCTGGGAATCTCCTGGGGGCCCCTGGGGCCTGTCCTGGGCGTCCTGCGGCCTCCTGCGGCTCCCAGGCAGGATATGTAACAGGTGGTCTTCTGGGCCCCCAGGCTGGACCACCTCTTGCGCAACATCTGGGAGCTCAAAATTGCGAGAATGTCTTCTGCGAAACAAGCCGGACCACCTTGCGCACGGTATCTCAGAGCTCAGAGTTGCGAGGATGTCTCTGGAAGGACGGGCCGGACCACCTCGCGCAGGGCATCGCAGAGCTCAGAATTGCGAGGATGTCTCAGGCGAAACGGGCTGGACCACGTCGCGCGCGGCATCTCCGAGGTCAGAATTGCAAGGATGTCTCAGGCGAAACGGGCTGGAGCACCTCTTGCGCGACAGCTCAGAGCTCAAAGTTTCGAGGATGTCTCAGACGAAATGGGCCAGACCACCTCGCGCGCGGCATCTCAGAGCTCAGAATTTGGAGGACGTCTCAAATGAAACGCGCCCGCCGGACCACCTCTCGCGCGGCATCTCGGAATGCAAAAATGCGAGGATGTCTCAAGTGAAACGGGCTGGACCACCTCTTGGGCGGCAGCTCGGGGCTCAGAGTTGCGAGGATGTCTCAAGCGAAACGGGCCGGACCACCTCTCGCGCGGCATCAGAGAGCGCAGAGTTGCGAGGATGTTTGAGGCGAAACGGGCCGGACCACCTCGCGCACGGCATGTCAGGGCGCAAAATTTGGAGGATGTCTTAAGCGAAACGGGCTGGACCACCTCTTGCGCGGCATCTCGGAACCCAGAAATTTGAGGATGTCTCAGGCGAAACGCGCCGGAACCCTCGCGCACGGCATCTCAGAGCTCAGAGATGCGAGCATCTCAGGCGAAACGCGCCGGACCACCTCGCGCACGGCATCTCAGAGCTCAGAGTTTGGAGGATGTCTCAGGCGATACAGGCCGGACCACCTCTCGCGCGGCATCTGGGAGCTCAGAGTTGCGAGGATGTCTCAGGCGAAACGGGCCGGACCACCTCTCGCGCGGCATCTGGGAGCTCAGAATTTCGAGAATGTCTGAGGCAAAATGGGCCAGACCACCTCTCGCGTGGCATCTGGGAACTCAGAGTTTGGAGGATATTCAAATGTTTATCTTATTTCCTGATCATTTGCCCTTTTGTTCCCGCGGCGCCCGCACCCCGCCCGAGGACGAGACGACGGAAACGCATACAAGAGCCAAAACATAGGACGAAACCTGGCCTGCACATGAACACATCAGAACAAATCAGCCTCCGAGGACGGTGAGAAAAACAAGCGAATACACTTGCACTCTCTCTCTCTCTCTCTCTCTCTCTCAAACTACAAAGAACTACTTGTCGTGGCGGCTCCCCGATGGAATTCCCCTTGTGGCGGGCTATAGAGGGATTCCTTCTGCTGCGGATTACAACAGGATTCCTCTTGTGCCGAAGGAGTTCTCTTATACGGCAGTACAGGAGGATTCCGTTTGTGGCTGCATATATAAAGATTCCTGTTGTGCCCGATTGCACAAGGACTCTTCTTGTGGCAACTTGCAGAAGGACTCTTTTTGTATGGGGTTGCAGAGGGACTGCACTTGTGGCGGCTTGCAGAAAGATTCCTCCTGTGAGGGCCTGCAGAAAAGGGTCCCTTGTGGCAGCTCAGGCAGCCGGGACGCGGCAGAGCGAACAGCAGGGCCCGCGGCACAACCAGGGTAGGTCGGGCGTGTCCTTCTACAGGCGGATTTTGGACGACAAATGAAAACTTCCCCAAACATATTCAAACAAACAACAAAACATTAAAACATCATGTCCCGATTATTGTTTGACTATTTTTGAATATCCCCCCTCTAGATGGACAGGCCGAGGAGGAGGAGGAGGGCCGTGGAGGCGCGGAGCTGGAGCGACGGCTAGACACCGAAGAACACTGCAAGGGCAAACGGGCGGGCGCGGGAACCGGCCTCCTGCTCGTCCGCCCAACGCGCGCCGCTCGAGCTGGGGGCGAAGACGCTCGCCGCCGCGGCGGCAGGCGCTGGTGCTGGGGCGGTGCCGGGGCCTGCGGGGTTGCGGCCTCGCCGTCGTCGCCGTTGTCGTCGTCATTGCCCTCGTCCGTCTCCTCCTCCTCCTCCTCCTCCTGCTCCTCCTCCTGTTCCTTGTCCTCCGCATCTGCCGACACCTCCACCTCCGCCTCCTCCTCCTCCTCCTTCTCCTCCTCCTCCTCCTCCTCATCGCCATCATCATCGTCCTCATCGTCAGCACCAGCATCGACATCAGCATCCGCATCATCGTTGTCGCCATCGTCATCATTCCCTCCTTCCTCTCCTGGTCGGCCTCGTACCCCTCGTCATCGCGCCTCATCTAACGTTGCATGATGGTACATCGTCGCGACCGCGACCGCGACTACGCCTGAAGTGCCATCGGCATACGAATCGCCACTACGACCGCTCCGCCATCACAATCGTCACCGCCGTTTTCATCGCGTAATCATCATGTTCATTACCGTTGTCGTATTGGCTGCAAGCCGCTGCAAATCATGATGCCCGTCATCGGCGCCGCCATCGCCGTCGCCGTCGTCATCCCCATCAACAGTGCCAGTAGCGATGGGGGCCCTGGATCATCATGGGCTGCGAAAGCTCTGACCTAATTCAAGACGAGGATGAGGGGGGGGCGGAGGAGGAGGGGGAGGAGGAGTAGGAGGTGGAGAAGGAGGAGAAAGAGGAGCAGGAGGGGGAGGAATAGGGGGAGGAGGTGGAAGAGGGGGAGGAGCAAGACCAGGAGCAGGAGCAGGAGCAGGAGGAGGAGGAGGAGGAGGAGGAGGAGGAGGAGGAGGAGGAGGAGCGAACGTCGCCGGAGAGGGGCGAGTCCGTCGGAAGGCCGAACTACGGCGCGCCCGCTCCGCCCGACAGGTCGGCGGGCAGCTTCAGAGCGTGGCGCGCGGCAGCAACGGCGGTCGCTTGCTTCTGGTACGTCATCGGCAGGACATCGTCCTTGGTGATGTGGTAGACACGCGTCGCTACGCTGAGCCTCGCGACGCTGTTCGGGATGCCGTTCTCTCCGTCGAAGGGGTCGGTGAGCTTGGGGAGTCCAAATCTCGTCAATAGATGAGCGCTCAGCTGGCCTCTGGGTTTGGCCAGCTGGTGCCACATGCGGCCGCAGATGACGCAGTGTTGGATGGCGTCTTGGCCGTCGGGGAAGGGGCACCCGAAGTGGCAGGAGCGCTTGATGGGATCATCACATGCATTCTGTGAGAAGTCGTCCATGCCCCCGCAAGCACCTTCAGCGAACCCCACAACCTGGTTGGCGGAAGGTCGCCATGTGGGAGCGCAGGCGCATCCATCGAGCAGGAAGATCACCAGGAACGTTTTCAGCTTGTAGAAGGTCTGGCTGTGCGTCAGGGCCTTCAGGTGGGACTTCGTCATCAATGTCATCATCGTCACGGTGGATGTCCTCGGGGTTGGCGTCGGGCTCGATGAAGGGAAGGATGTGGCTGATCCAGCGGCGACGGGCGCGAAGTTGGGCGGCTTCATATGTGAGTAATGATGAGCGAGGGGATCGACTGCGTGGAGATTCGTTCGAGTAGAAGTCGCCCCATGCCGCTGTTGTCCCACGACTGGACGCACATGTTGACTGCGATGCGGTGGCGCTGGATGTTCGTGGCGTACAGCGGCAGGAACAGGTCGGTGCCGAGGAGCTCGTCCGGGTAGGTGGTGCACCACTGCATCCAGTCTTCGCGGTTGTCGATGCTGGGGTCGTTTAGCAGGATGTTGGGAAGCCAGTGGGCGGCCCAAGCACGGGCACGGTTCATCAATCGGTCTTGCGCTCGTTCAGCTTCACGTCGGGGTCCGTCTGGTGGTTCGCGTGTGTGCTGTTGTTTTGAATCAAGGTGTGGAAACCAGGCGATCAGGCGGCGCCTGATCGTGTCGGGCATGGTGTCTACGTGCAGCTGTTCGTTGAGGGGCTTCAGGTAGGCTGACTGCGGGGTGATCTTGGCGGGCTGGCGGTGTCGGTGCCGTACGGGATGCGAGGTGGACTGTGGGACTTGGCGTTGGAGTAGGGCTTGTTGTCCTGCTCGGGCAGCGCGCTTGTGACAGGCGATCAGGGCGGCACGAGCACGCGGTCGCGGTCCAGCTTTGCGTGTGAGGCGCTTGAGGTGGGAACCTTTGGCGTCGGTCAAGAAAGTGGCGTTGGTGGCGCCTTCGAGGCGTTGGACAATGGCGGTCTTGATCTTCCAGCACTCGTTGCACCAAACTCCTTGCGTGGCCGTGACGAGGGGGAGTTGATCGTAAGCTGTGTCGCATAGTAGTCGGTGGGCAAGTTGCCAGCCTGTGATCGCGGTGGTCGCCGTGCGCCAGAGGGTGGCGGATAGGTAGTTCTCAATGCCGATCGGAACCTCCACGTTTGTCCAGAGCGTCATCGCGAGGACGTCGGACTTCGCGAAGCTGGACGGGGCGACGCGCAGCAACTTGTTGATGGCCTGCAGCTCCTTCAGCAGGATACCTTCATGGGGGCTCGAATAGCTGGCCGACGTACTCCCACGGGCAGGTAACAGCGGCGACGTTGTAAAGTTTGATGCATTGTTGTAGAGGGGCATGCGAGACTGCGAGCTTCTCAACGCGGTCCCACCACTTGACGGAGGGCCCATCGCCACTGGTCCTCGAGCGTCGCACCTGGGCCAACGAAAAAGCCGAGGTAACGGGCCACAGGCTCGATCTTGAAGTTGGACCGAGGGGCGTGGGGCGTTCGCGAGGGTGTGGCGCATCTCGGCGATAATGTCTTGTGTGGGGAGCGTCCATGTGGGAGCGACGATGCATTTCTTTGCTTGTAGTTGGAGGCCTGCAAGTACTTCGGCAACGACCATGTGCGGTGCGAGCAGGGGGATGTCGGACAGTCTGGCTAGGATGACGCCGAGGTCATCGGCGCAGGCGCTGACAAGCCCGCGCTGGATCTCGCGGAGCTCGTGGCTGAGGGCGATGATGATGGGGTCGAAGACGAGCGCCCAAATGGCGCCGCTCAGAGGGCAGCCTTGTGCGACGCCCGATGCTGCGATCAACAGGGGGCGGCGTTCCCCTCCCAGGTCAAGGAACGAGACGGGCCAGAAGTAGCAGGCCTTGAGCAGGCGCATCATGTGGCCGTGGATGCCCCAGCGCTCGATGACGTTCCACATCCACTGATGGCCGAGGCTGGGGAATGCGGCTGCGATGTCCATGCTGACGAAAACGGGCATGTCAGTTGATGCTGTGGGGGATAGGCTGTGTCTGCGCGCAGCTGCGTCCACGGCGACTACATTGTTCAGGAACTGGCGGCCCGAGACGAAGCCCTGCTGCTCGTGCGAGGTCAGGGCGGCGAGGGGATGAAGCTGGCGATTGGCGGCAGACGCTGGCAGCTTCACGTCGGAGCTCTTCATTGAGAGCGGCCGTAAGCACTCTGGGGAACGCGTGCGGTCTGCGTTGCCCGTGGGTTCGTCACCTTTCGGCAACATGGCCATGAGAGAAAAGTTGAAGTCGTGCGGGATGTTATTGTTGGCGGCGATGTCGTGGCCGACGTCGGCCAGGATGTCGAAGCTGTCGGGGGTGCGAAGCCAGGCGCGGTGGGGTAGCCCATCTGGGCCCGGCGCAGAGTCACCTGCGAGGCGGGCGGCTTTCTTGAGATCCTGTGCGTCAGGGAGGGGAAGATCTACTCGCGGGCGTCGTGGGAAAGCCGAGTCGAGGTAGTTTGTGAGCAGAGTCTCGTCAACATGCTTCTCGGCGAACACGGGGGCCCAGTGCCGCATGATGGCCTGGTGCATGGCGGGATCGGTGGCGATTTTCGACGAGTTGCCGGTGATGATCTTGATGCCCGTGATCACGAGGCGCTTGGCGAAGGGCTTCCAGAGTTCGCCGCGGTAGCCTTCTCGCTTGGCGCGCTGGCGCCACTTCTGGCCGAGTGGGGCGTTGCCGGCCGCGAAGGCGGCGCGAGATCGAGCAGATGCAATGGCTTTGCGTTCGTTGCTGAGGCTGGCGTGCGTGGCGTCGGCGGCCCTGGTGAACGTCGGCATGTCGTTTACGCTGACAGTGTTTCCGATGACCTTCAGGTGGGGGCGCCCGATGTCGGTGTGCTCGATGAGCGAGTTCGCGAGCGGGACGTTCTGGTACCATATAGCCCGTGCGATGCTGCGGAGAGTCATGGCGCGGGTCTCCTGGGATACGGGTCCAGGCTGTGATGTCAACTCGTCTGCTGGGAGCTTGGTCAGCGTGCCGCGGGCGTGGGCGGCTGCGACCTGCGTCGCGGCCTTGAGCGTGCGCCATTTTGCAATCGGGGTCATGTTGGTCATGTCTATGTTGGCGAGAATCTTGGTGATGTGATGCTTATAGTGGGTAGTGTCGAAGCTGTACGCGGGGGCGCCTCGCCCCGTGGCAACCTTGGGCTTGCGGAGGCGGATACGGACGTGCATAATCTTGTGGTCGCTTATCGGGCCGCGGGGGTTCTCGAGCGGGGAGTCGTCAGCTATGTAGATGATCTCCATGAGGGGCATGAGATGGCTCGGGAGGTTGATGAAGTATCGGCCGATGGTGGATTCGCTCATGTTCCCTTCAGCTCTGCGGGTAGTTGAGGATGATGTGATCTCGGTCATGTCGCGGAAGAACGATCGCCGACATGCAGGTTGGTATTGATGCCTCTGCGCGGCGGTGGTGTCAGAGTCGACGGGGGCGTTTAGCGACTTCGGTGGGAATTCAGCAACGTTGAAATCGCCCGCGACCATGAAGAGGCGATGTTGTGGTTAGTCGTCGGCATGCTGTCGGAGCGCTTGCCACTGATCTCGAAGATAGAATCGATCTGCTGCGGTAAGGCTGTAGTTGTGGATGTTGAGGACGGCGACTTCGAACTAGAGGCTGGCATCCGTGACCCGAAGCCAGGCGGCGCGGCCATGGATGACGACCTCAAACCTGATGCGAGGACGTAGCGCAGGGGGGGAGTATTTCTTCGCCTTTGTCGTGCGGGACGAGGAAGCCCACGCCGCCTGCGTTGGTGGCGGGGAAGTTGTCTGCCATCGCGGGGGAGTGGAGCGGCTTGCGCGGG